AGAAAAACCTAGGAGTAAGTGGGACAGGAAGTAAAGTAGGGCAGGCCACCGGCTGGGCCGGTGAGCCAAGAGAAGCTGCCCCCTGCTGGAGCGGGAGCCGCTGAGTTCCTCCCGAGACCCCCTCCAGCGCGCAGCTCGCCCAGTAGGTGCAGCCTCACCTGCTTTCCGTCTGATCCTCCGCGCGCGGCTTCCTCCTGGCCGAGGTTGCCGAGGTCCCGGGCCCGCCGCTCTCTACGCGGTGATGCTGCGGGAGAATCGCGCTCTGGGGAGGAGTCTGAGGGCCGGCCCCACACCACGCCCCCGCAGCGCCCCGGGGAGCTACGTTCAGTGCCCCCCGCCCCGCGCCACCCCTGTTGGCCCCTGTTGCGGTCAGACGGGGCGGGGGATTACCGTGAACACAGACAGCCCCAGTTTGGCGGCTTCCTTGTCCTCTCGGGACATCGCCACGCGGCCCACGGAGCCACTGCAGGAACACGGCGATGAAGACAGTCCGTCAAGGGCCCGCCTCACCCGAGCAATTCTGCCCTCCCCTGGAAACCTGCTCGCACCTGGCGCTCCCCAGGCCCAGCAGCCGGTCCACGCCCTTCTCCTCGGGGTCGCCTCCTTCCCGCTTGCAGACCTCCGCGAAGTCCTGCAGGTGCGGGAGCACAGGCAGCGTTCGGGACGGCCCCACACCCACGGCCCTCCACGTGCCCCCCACCCCAGGGAGTTACCTCCTTGCTCAGGCCCGTGGGCTGCTTCTTCACGTTCTTGTAGCCACTGCGAGAGGACCAGGGCAGGCGTCAGGACGGACAGACCTCCTCCCACCACGGGTCCTCACCACTCCAGCCTTCGTCCTGAGGGTCCCACCCGCGCAAGTCCCCGCAGCCCCGCCCCCCCCCCAGCCGGACACCCAGTCCCCGCCCCGGCCCCACCCTGCCCCGGCAGCGCAGTCCCAAGCACCGACCGCTGATGTCCGCGAACACTCACAGGGCGGCCAGCAGCGCCTCCCGCTCCGCCTCCCGCACTGCTGCCAGTTCCTCCTCGCGGCTCGGGCCCGCGCACGGCGCCCGGCCCTTGGCGTACCAGGTGAGGTCGCGGCCCTTCTGCCAGCGGCCTACGGGCGCCATCAGCGAGTTGCCTGCGGACGTAGGTGCCGTGAGCCCAGCGCCCGCCCGGGAGGCCGCCCGCCGTGCCCACCGCGCCCACCGCGCCCACGGACCCAGGTAGTTCTCCCGCTGCTTGTCAGTCTTCACGTCCTCCCAGTTGAACTGGTCCTGCCCGCCGCGCACGCCTCCGCGACTGGAACCGAACATGGCGCCCGGGAGGCAGTTGCCTGGGGCCTGCGGCCTGCGACCCGCAACCCCGGACCCTCTGTACCCACTACCGTCGGACCCAGGCCCGACCCCGCCTTCGCGTCGCGCGCCGTGACGTCACCCGGCGCCCACCCGGCTTCGCCCCGCGCGCCTGCGCAGCGCACTGCGCCGGCTCTGTGCTCCCGCGCGTCACCGCCAAGCAGGCTTTGGGCGCCTGCGCACTGCGCCTATCCTGCCCAGCGCGGGAACGCCTCTGAACTGGACGTTTAAAAATGGTTAAAACCGCCGGGCGCGGTGGCTCATGCCTGTAATCCCAGCACTTTGGGAGGCCGAGGCGGGCGGATCACAAGGTCAGGAGATCGAGACCATGGTGAAACCCCGTCTCTACTAAAAATAGAAAAAATTAGCCGGGCGCAGTGGCGGGAGCCTGTAGTCCCAGCTACTCGGGAGACTGAGGCAGGAGAATGGCGTGAACCCGGGAGGCGGAGCTTGCAGTGAGCCGAGATTGCGCCATTGCACTCCAGCCTGGGCGACAGAGCGAGACTCCGTCTCAAAAAAAAAAAAAAAAAAAAAAAAAGGTTAAAACCGGGCTGGGCGCTGTGGCTCCCGCAGCACTTTGGGAGGCCCAGGCAGGCGGATCGCTTGAGGTCGGGAATTCCAGACTAGCCTAGCCAACATGGTGAAACCCCGTCTCTACTAAAATACAAAAATTAGCCAGGTGTGGTGGTGCACACTTGTAATCCCAGCTACCCAGGAGGCTGAGGCAGGAGAATCACTTGAACCGGGAGGCGGGGTTGCAGTGAGCCGAGGTCGCGCCACTGCACTCCAGCCTGGGCGACAGAGCGAGACTCTGTCTCAAAAAAAAAAAAAAAAGTTAAAATGGGCCGGGCGCGCGCACTTGCGCGCCTGTAGTCCCAACGCTTTGAGGCTGAGGCGGGAGGATCTCTTGAGCCCAGGAGATCGCGCCACTGCGCTCCAACCTGAGCAAGTGAGCGAGACCCTGTCTCATAAAAAAAGAAAACACATACGATGCGCCTAGCTGTCACTGCCAGCCGCGATTCCATATGGGGAGCTTAACAAGGTAATGCCCTAATGATTTGTGGAATTTCTGAGTATTACCCAGTAAACTTCTGGATGAACCAGCAGCTACCCAGACACCCTCAGAGCACTGGTCCCATCCCTGCCGTGGTAAACTGAATGTGCACCCTAACTCCCACGTGAAATCCTCAACCCAAGGCGTTGGTGCTTCGGAGGTGACTAGGTCATGACGACAGAACCTTCATAAAAAAGACCAGAGAGCTTTGTGCAGCTTTCCACTGTGCGAAGGCAGCGGGAAGTCTGTAGTCTGGAAGAGACCCCTTCCCAGAACCTCAGCATGATGGGCACCCTGATTTTGGAGGTTGTGCCATCCCCCTGCTTCACGTTTCCACTTTCATTCCCAGTGGTGACCAAGAAACAGAGTCCCTTGGCCGCTCTGTGACCTCGCCAACGGTATAATTTCGTCTGCAGATTTGAACCTGAGCCATAGCCATGAACGTTCCCAGGCACAGATGACAGCATCTAGGTTGTTGCTCAAAACACAGAAAGAAACTGGACTCAGCCTGAGCCAGATTCCTTAAACCCTCATATAAACTCCATTCAACAACCCCCTCCCCATGGACATACCTAGAGAGAACATTCATTTCTCTCACCACCCGTTGCAAGAACTGCTGCAGCCCACTCTGTACAAAAGCCCTGCTAATAAATGCTCTGGGCGCATTACCCTGGCATGCTCAATCTTTCTATAGAATCCTAACCAGCCCCATCTCAGCATGGTGTGGGGCACTCCCTTGTGGGAACTCTACTGCCACCACTTTTGGGGCAATTCCAGCCACAGGTTGAACTGGATGAAACACAGGTCTAGTGTCCAGAACTGTGGGAAATTTGTTTCTTAGTTACCCAGTCCATGGGTCAGGCTGTTAGAGCAGCCTGGCAGACAGCCCATCTGGCTCATCTATCTACTTAGCAAGTACCGGCTGCCATCTCCCTCATGAGGTGCTGTGTGAGCTTGCATCATGGAGCAGGTGCATGGCAAGGGCAGAGCAGCAGGCCACAGCCTGGCACACAGAAGGTGACTGGCCCACTCCTGGGAAGTCTTCCTTGGGTGTAGGGCATCAACTCCTGGGTGCAATTGTGGCTTGCCAGGCCAGGGTGGACTTGGGCCATGTGGGCAGGGCCCGGCTGTGGAGTGTGACCACTGACTGGATATCAGGTGTGGTGGAGAGGGGATAGCAGGGCCAGGTGGACGTTGGGGAGGAGTCCAGGACGGCTCTGAGGCTCTGGTCTGGGCAACTGTGAGGATGAAGCAGCCACCTGTCAACAAGAGGACCAGGTTTCTGGGGAAGACCTGGTCAGTTTTGAGCCCATTAGCCTGACAAGCCGTAGGCCACAGGAGGAGGGGTCACCGCGGTGGAGGTTGCATGGCCTATGCCTGCTGGGTGGAGGCCCAGCTGGGGGCACTGATCACAGTGGTGTCCTCTGTGACAGCAGCAAAGCTGGACCCAGGAGGGTAGAGGTGAGGGAGTAGAGGGGCAGTGGAGTTCCCAGGGGAACCCACTATAGAGGGAGGAGGCTGAGTACACTGGAGGAGAGGGCCAAGTGACTGCACAGTGTGGCCAGGCAGCTGGCTCTATATGCCACAGGGATTGAGCCACAACTTCAGAGACGGGGGCTCCAGGGAGGCTGCTCAGGAAGTAACCCTGCAAGGCAGAGTCCCAGGCGGCCACACAGCCCATCCATGTGAGGTCAGGCACTGCTGGGTCACAGGGACAGGGGATATCCCTTGCAGGCTCTTCTCAGCAGAGCTGAAGGCCGGCAGGATGAGCAGAGGGCCAGGAACAAACTTAAGGGACAAGGGAAGGGCCTGCGAGGTGGGGACACTGCCCAGGCTCCTCAGTTACAAGCACTGTCATCACAGGGGCGCGACAGCACACTCTGACCTGCCTGGCAATCCCAGAACACCACTGCAAGAAGTGTTTGTTGGGCACTCCAGGTGTCAGTGAGACAGCCTGCCAGCTGGGACCCAGTAACACCCCAGGACAGGGACAGGAAGCAGTCCGGGCCCTGAGCTGTCCAAAACCTGGGCTGATGTGTGTGTGAAGGTGCCTGCACATCAGCTGGAGCTGGTCCTAAGTGAAATCAGCCTCTGGACAGATGGAGCAGAGTCTGTGGATCTCCCTGGGCTGTGCTTTTCAGACCCCATTAGCAGTCAAGAACCACCAGGGCTGGCTGCTCCTCTGGGGACCCTCCCAGGGCAGGACCTTCCCTGGGGCAGCCTGGGAATGCAGGGCCAGGGCAGGGAGCTGCAGGCTGTGGTCCAGATGGTCCTAGGGCTGCCCCACCAAGGTTGATGCCTGAGTCCCAGAACACCCAGGCCCTCCTAGGAATCAACCTGAGGGCCACTGTGCTGTCAGGAGGGCAGTCGCCTTGGTGCCTCTGAGGCTGGGAAGGCACAGCTTAGAGCTTGGAGGTATTGGGTGCTGCCCACACAGTTGTCCGTGGGCACCACAGCCCCAGAGCAGTGTCCAAAACCCACAGGTTTGATCTAAACCAACGCTCACCCTGCTAGTCCACTAAGCCCTCTCTATGCTTGAGCTCGTGCCTTTCAGGGGACGAGCTGCCAGTCTGGGGCTCACACCAAGTGTGGGGACAGACACAGACTCCAGGTGGCAGCTTCGAGAATATGTGATTTAAGAACAGCCCTCCCATCTTATCAACGTCCCGGGGTGGCTGGAGCCACGGTCACTTCTTGGTCCTGTTCCAGAACTGTTGGTAGTGCTCCATATGAAAGTCATCACTGAGCTCTTGCTCGTACTCCTTCCTCGGCTGGAGCTGAGCCTCACGCTTCCGCAGCCTGGCCCGGCGTTCCTCAGGAGACAAGGTGTCCAGATCTATGGGCATCTGCAGGGGACAGACCAAGTTTTGTCCATGTGGATCGAGGGACCTTGAGAACTACTGAGGGGACAGCCCAGGGCCTTCCTGTCAACTTGTGTCTTCCATCCTATACTAGCTTAATTTTCAAACATTCTTATTGGTCTCTCCCTTCAAAGCTTTCAATCTTCAAAATAAATTGTTCTGTGTTTTCCCCAGATTTGATGTTTTTAAAAACACACAAGGCCAGGCATGGTGGCTCACTCATGCCTGTAATCCCAGTGCTTTGGGAGGCTGAGGTGAGAGGATCACTTGAGCCCAGGAGTTCAAGACTAGCCTGGGCAACACAGAGAAACCCCATCTGTACAAAAAATATTTCAAAAAGTTAGCGAGGCATGGTGGTGTGCACCTGCAGTCCCAGCTACTCGGGAGGCTGAGGACCACATGAGTCCAGGGGGTCAGGGCTGCAGTGAGCTGAGATCATGCCTCTGAACTCCAGCCTGGTTGACAGAGCAAGACCCTATCTCAAAAAATAAATTTTAAAAATAAAAACACACTACTGGTTAGTCCTATCTAATTTTGGCACTTAAGAGTCAGTTTTGGATCTAAGCCTTCCTCCAATCCTTCAACAACCACCTGCTCCCCTGACTCCTGTCATGTGGTACAGTGACCACAGCCACATGTCCATCCTAAGGCAACTGGCCACCAGCACCGCCACCACAGCCTGAACCCCAGCCCAGCACCTGGAAGCACCTGGAGAGGGAAGCTTACCGCCAGCATGCGCCGCGGCTCCCTGTAGCGGATGTGGATGGTGGAGCCATCCTGCTTCACCAGCAGTACAGGGTAGAGTCGTGCATAAGCTTGGCGGTGCACACGACTGAGTGAGGCCCTGCTGCTGTCGGCCTGCCAGGAGGATGTGTGCAGGTGGCGGAGTGCAGGTTCGGTGGCCTTCACGGTGCTCTGCCTCAGCAGGCTGCAGATAAACGTGTAAGCACTGGTCCAACATGACTGAGGCTGGCTGTGATGGGGCACTGCCAGGCAACAGGAGACACTACCAGAGCTGGTGACCCATGCCAGGAGCAGGATGAGCCTCAGGGCTTCCTGAGGAGCCGCAGGCTGTGGTCAGAGCCGCTCTGGCCCCCTAGCCAGGAAGAGCCTGCCAGGCTGAGCAAGGGCACAAAGCTTCCAGCACAGGGGACAGTGGATAATAGCTGGGACTAGGCAGGATTAGAATGGCCATTTCCTGCTGAATAGAGGGGTTCCCTGGGGTGGCCCCTGACAGTAATACCCAGGGACCTAAAAGTCCATGCTTACCCAAGCAGGCTGCCCACGGCCGCCATTCCTCCTTAGAGTCCCGTGGCACGTGGTGGTGGTAAGTACAGGCCCTGGAGTGCAACCTGCTAGGCAGAGAATGAAGACATCTTTTTTTAAAAGGAAGGTTCTTCCACCTAATGGGTTCACATCAAATCCCAGCCCAGGATGCTTCCAAGACACATGTAATCAACACGCCACTCACCAACCTCTCCCAGCAACCCTTGGACTTCTCAGAACCGCCTGTAGAGGTTTTTCCAAAAGCAGAAGTTGGTCACTACTCCCAAAAATTCTGACTCAGTCTGCGGCAGGGCACAGGCTGTTTGTTCTGGCCGTTACCGAGTCTGGGAAACCTCTCTAAATGGACTGCAGCCTCAAAAGTGGAGCTGAGGTCATGCCTTGCTTTCTAAGGTCATTGCTAGTTTTAATAAAAACCCAGTCAGGTGAGGATTGTCATGCTTGCTTAAAGGAGAATGGAGGCCCAGGGCTGCTTTGCTGTGACCTGGATTCCCATGGGAGTCTGTGCTGAGTTATCCGAGGTGAAAGCCCAGTTTCCAATACTCAGATTCCAGGAGACGAGGCTGCAAGGCGGCCGAGCGCCCAGCTTCCTCTGGCGTACCCCTCTCACCAAGGAAGGGACCTGAAGACAGGTCCGGCTGCCTCTAAAACGGAAATCCTGCTCCGTGTCCTATGCCGACATCCCTCTCCCTCGGCCTCACGAGCACAGGAGCCTGGGGCTGGTCCAGGAGGGTCTTCAGGGGAAGCTCCCTCTTCCTCCCTGCTAGACCGCATGGGGACAAGGGCCCAGTACAGGTGCAGCCCCCAGTCCCCTTCCCTGCCTCCCTCTCTCCGGACTCCACAGGGAGAGTACAGCGCCCCCCGCCTCTGCTCCCGGCCCACACGAGGCGCCAACCTGCAGCCGCCACAGTCGCTGAGGAGGGGCCTGAGGACAGACGGTCCTGACTCCCACTGCCCGGTGGAAACTAAGACCAGGGACGAGGGCGCGCAGGAGGTCACAGCACACTCACTGCGTTGAGTGCTGCAGCGCTGCAGCCCACAACGTCACTGGCAGGCGCTGCGTCGCGCGGTAGGACGTATTCCATGGCGGGGCGAGGCAAGAGTGGGCGGTGAAACACGAAGATATACCCCCCGTTGGGCGGGGCCGGCGCGGTGTGATGTAATCTTGTGGGCGGGGCGAAGCCTAGGTAGGCGGGGCCTGCGGGGCGCTGTGGCAGTACGAGGAGCGAGGCGGAGTCGGCCAGGTGACCTCCGTTCTTACGGGAGGACCAGGGCAGGCCAGCGGGGTCGAGGGGGACCCGCGGGTCTGAGGGAGGACCCGGGGTGGGGAGTTGAAGGAGGATCCGCAGGGCTGAGGGAGGATCCAGGAGAGTTGAGAGAGGTCCCGGAGGTCTGAGGGAGGACCCAGGGGTCCTGAGGGAGGACGCAGGGGAACTGAGGGAGGATCCGCGGGGCTGAAGGGGCACCAGCTGGGCTGAGGGAGGACCCAGGTGGGGCTGCTGGAGGACCCCGGTGGGGGCTGAGGGAGGGAGGATGCGCGGGGCTGAGTGGGCACCAGCTGGCCTGAGGGAGGATCCAGGGGGAGCTGCGGAAGGATCTGCGGGGCTGAGGTAGGATCTAGAAGGGGTGAGAGAGATCCCAAGACGCTGAGGGGGGATCCGCAGAACTGAGGGAGGTCCCAGGGGGCAGTGAGGGAGGATCCTTGGGCGCTGAGGTGGGAATCAAGGGAGGCTGAGGGAGGATCTGTGGGGATGAGGAAAGTTCAAGGTGGGGCTGAAGAGGGACGCAGCGGGCTGAGGGGGACCTGAGAGGCTGAAGGAGGATCTGAAAGGCTGATACAGCAGGGCTGAGGGGGGATCCGCGGGGTTGGTGGGGGCTGAGGAATGACCCTGTAGTTCAAAATGGAGTAATTTATGTCACAAGGTAACCAAAATGGAGTGGGGAGGGCCCTAAGGAAGCAGCTGTCACGCATTTCTGAAATGCCAGTGAGGCTCGCTATTACCTTGTAAACAGAGTTTATTCCGGGCATTTCCACTGGCCTGCAGTATTCCAGATGAGATGTTTGGACCAGGGCAGGCAGATAGCATCGCTTATCTGCCCCAGTGAGCCAGGGTCACTTTGTGCAGTGAGTTCATGAGACCAGGGCCTTTGTTTTGTGAAAGTTACAAATAAGGAATGAAATCACGTTGTCAGGCCCAGACAGACAGGGCTGGGAAGGACAGGAGGTTCAGGCTTAGTGTGTGAGATAAGAACTATTTACAGGGACTTTCGAAAAACCCGCAAGAAACCCTTTTGTGTCATTCGCGGGTCTCCTACTTTGATAAAATTTAGACGATCTTTGTGACTACAGTAATTCAGATAAGATGCTCGGAAGAAACATTTGCCCAGTAATGGCAGCTCCACCAATGAACTGAGGACAACTTTGAGCTTTGGCGTTGGGCCTCTGGAACCAATGAACTCTTTCTAAGCAGCTTCTGTGAACCTCTCCCATTTCGCTGATAAAAAGTTCCCTCTACCCTTCCCTCACTAGGAGTGCTGGTGGCTTGCTGTTGTTGACAAAAAGAGTCAAACTGTAAAATATTTCAAGAGATTTATTCTGAGCCAAATATGAGTAACATGGCCTGTGACACAGCCCTCAGGACAGAGGTCCTGAGAACATGTTCCCAAGGTGGTTAGGGTGCAGCTTGGTTTTATACGTTTTAGGGAGGCATGAGGCATCAATCAAATACATTTAAAACTTATATTGGTTTGGTTCAGAAAGGCATGACAACTCAACGTGGGGGTCGAGGATGATGGTTTCCAGCTTATAGGTGGACTTAAAAATTTTGTTTGACATCTTGGTTGAATTTACCTAAAGACCAGGGATTAACAGAAAGGAATGTCTGGGTTAAGATAAAAGACTGTGGGCCAGGTACAGTGGCTCACGTCTGTAATCCCAGCACCTTGGGAACCTGAGGCAGGCGGATCATGAGGTCAGGAGTTTGAGACCAGCCTGACCAACATGATGAAACCTCCTCTCCACTAAAAATACAAAAATTAGCCGGGCGTGGTGGTGTGTGCCTGTAATCCCAGTTACTCAGGGAGCTGAGGCAGGAGAATCACTTGAACCCGGGAGGCAGAGGTTGCAGTGAGCCGAGATTGCACCACTGCACTCCAGCCTAGGTGACAGAGTGAGACTCCATCTCAACCTTGGCAGCCTTCCAGGTGACAGAGTGAGACTCCATCTCAAAAAAAAAATATATATATATATATATATGTATATATATATATATATATGATTGTGGAGACCAAAGTTCTTATTTGCAGAGGAAGCTTTCAGCTATTAAGCTTCAGAGAGAATAGGTTGTAAAATGTTTATCAGACTTAAAGTCTATGTTGATGTTAATGCCAGAGAGGTATAATGAGGCATGTCTGACCCCCACTTCTTACCATGGCCTGAACCAGTCTTTCAGGTTAAATTTTAAGAGTTCCAGGCCAGGCACGGTGGCTGACACCTGTAATCTCAACACTTTGGGAGGCAGAGGTGGGTGAATCACTTGAGGTCAGGAGTTCAAGACCAGCCTGGACAACATGGTGAAACCCAGTATCTACTAAAAAATACACAAAAATTAGCCAGGCATGGTGATGCGCGCCTGTAATCCCAGCTACTTGGGAGGCTGATGCAGGAGAATCACTTGAACCCGGGAGGTGGAGGTTGCAGTGAGCAGAGATCGCACCACTGCACTCCAGCCTGGGTGACAGAGCAAGACTCCGTCAAAAAAAAAAAAAAAAAGGAAAGAAAATTAAGAGTTCCCTGGCCAAGGAGGAAGTTTATTTAGATGGCTGGGGAGCCTTATAAGTTTTTTTTTATTTTTGGTTTACACTTGATACAAGAAAAACTTCAGCTGAATTAAATTTAAAGTTTAATTGAGCAATGAACGATTCACTAATCGCGCAGCCCCCAGAATCGCAGCAGATTCACAGAGACTCCAGTGCAGCCATGTGGTGGAAGATTTGTAGACAAACAACAGGTAAATGATGTACAGAAATTGGAAGTGAAGTACAAAACGGCTGGATTGTTTTCAGGTTGTGTTTGCCTTATTTGAACACAGTTTGAACACTCAGCACTATATGAATGGTTGAAGTGCAGCCTCTGGGATTGGCCAGGAGGCAGCTATTGTTACAGTTGCATACTCCTGTTAGGTTTTCAATCTATCTACCTTAAGCTAGGTTGCAGTTCATCCGCAAGAACTCAAATATAGAAGTATGAAGTCCTTCTCAGGCCATATTTAGTTCGCTTCAACAACTCCCCTCTTTTGGTCATTTTCTCAATTTTGAGAGATTGACCAAAACTTTAGTTGTTGTCACTGTCACCATTGTAGATGTACTTATTTGCTCCTGAAACTCACTGGGAAACAGTAGAACAATGAGTTTTCCAAAGGTAGGAACAAAGACTGAGTAGAGGGTATGTCTTTATGCTGGAACATTCTGTTTACAGGAGAAAAAACCTGGTCTGTTCTAGGATTTATGTGTATCCTTAGTTTGATTATGTTACATGTAGCATGAGTGACTCCATTTTAGTTTGGTTTGGCCTGTTGGGACCTAGTGCATGAGCTTAGTCCAAAACAATGGCCTCCCATAATTGTGTTTTTTTTAAAAAAAATTTCCCCCTTTTTGGTCAGGTTCTCACTTAGGTGAGAGTGTGACCAAAATTTGGGGCCTTAGCACCACTCTGTTACCATCATTTTGGGTTTCTGGTGTCAGCACATCATTCATAGGTTATGGTATCCTCACGGTCACATATTTCTTTCAGCTCTTTCATTCCAGTTGAAGAGAGACCATTTGAGGTTCTAGAGATGGCTGCATGCAAACATTTAAAACCTTAGAGAGAATACAGTGCACCAGGCAGACTATTATTATGCCTACTGGGAGGATAATACCAAGAGTTTGGAGTATGCTCGTTACCCAGGGTCCCCATAAACCAAACCGCCTAAAATTAAATAGATTAAAGAATGAGTGAGATAAAGGGTCTACTTGCTTGACTAAATGATCTTTTCATTAATCCTCTACAACTGAATTTTTTTTTTTTTTTTTTTTTTTTTTTGAGACAGAGTCTCGCTCTGTCACCCAGGCTGGAGTGCCGTGGCGCAATCTCGGCTCACTGCAACTCCGCCTCCTGGGTTCACGCAATTCTCCTGCCTCAGCCTCCAGAGTAGCTGGGACTACAGGCACCCGCCACCATGCCCTGCTAATTTTTTGTATTTTTAGTAGAGACGGGGTTTCACTGTGTTAGCCAAGATGGTCTCGATCTCCTGACCTCGTGATCCGCCCGCCTCAGCCTCCCAAAGTGCTGGGATTACAGGCGTGAGCCACCGCGCCCGGCCTGAATTTTTATAATCTACATATAATGTATTCCTCCATAGGCCACAAGTGCCAGCAGCTGCACAGGTACTTTTCTGTTTAGCTAATTCTATTATTTAGCATAACTTTCACAAGAGAATTTAAAGTCTGTTGTGTAATGATAGCCTTTACAGTAGAATCTGCTAGAGAGCCTATTATGTGGGATACATTTTTAATTATTGCCTATTTTATTCTAAACCAAGGTAGAAGGACCTAACAAATGACGTCCTTTTAGAAAAGTGAAAGCCCCCTGGCAATGTTCTCTAAAGAGATTCCGTTAAAACCCATGATGTGGGTTAAGAGGAGTTTTTATGAGGAAATGTATGTACAATTAAAGTTTTTCACCTACATTGGGCCTTCATCTTGTCTTTATCAAAGTATAAGATTATTCATGTATAAGGCTGGCTGCAAAATCCTTCACAAATAAAAGTATACCATATAACTGAACATAATAGAACCCATTTTCTATTGTTCATAGAGGCATAAACAGGGAAAAAATATTCAAAGATAAGAGTCTTATGATAGAAGTCTCGATCCGTGATCTTGGGAAAAGCTGTTCACGTCAAGGATGCCATCTTCTTCTGGGAAGAAACTTTCTGGGTTAGTTTTACCTTAAGGATTCTGAAAGGTGTACAGTTCCAAGAGTGTAGAGGGACCCCTCTCAGTTGTTTATGAACCCAAGGTTCAAGGTTCCA